GGGGGGGGGGGGGGGGGGTGGGGGAGAACTGTGTGCATGAAAATAGATCTTCTTTCCATATAGATCTGCAGCCATCACAAGCAAGATAAGTTCCAAGAGGGTTAACCAGGCCAGTGGGACCATCAAGTACAGGAAGAAAAAGGCTTTCCTTTCCCTTCCCTTTCCCTCCCCTTTCTGCTGGGCCAAGCACAGCCCTGTAGGCAGGCAGGCTCACACGCTGCGTCTGCATGGAGTAGCACTGCCACCTCTCGGGACATGCCAGCACCCTCTTCTCCTGCACAGCTTCCCATCTGCAAAACTACTGCAGCTAAAACAATCTTGGCAACAATATTTCTTCTGACTGCCCCATCTCAAGGCCAGGTCTCCTGGGGCTTTAATACCTAGGGTGCAACATCTGTATCCTGGAAAGACTTGAACCACTGCAGTCCAAAGCTGTTGGACTGAAGCTGTCATTAGGTAGTGAGGGACTGCATAACCATGCTCCACGCACAAATGGCACACTGTGCAGGGACACCGCCTTAGCCTGACAAACTAGAGAGCAATACTCAGTATGGAGAATTATGGAGACCAATGAGTTACTGACCGAACTGAGAAACAAGGACAAGTGGAGAAACCCCAGTTACAAAATCAGTGAAAAGAGAGCACACTAAATGAGATATTCTGCAAAATACCTACTTTTTCTGCAGCTGAGCAGGTAGCAACTTGTGCCTGCATTCCCCTACAGTGTTGCACAGACATTCACAGGCACATCATTTCCTAAAAAAAGCTAATTCACTGGAACATTTACATATGGTAATACTCCCACAGGCAATCACATCTCCTGAAAAGGATGCACAGGATCCATAAAAGGATATCCTGAAGTAACTTCATGTGTTAACTCCCCATTCCTGGGGCGGTGGAGACCTGCACTCCCTGGGTCAGGGGAGGGTCTCTTTGCTCCAGTTGCCTGTGGCTGCAGACAGGCCACCCGCAGCAATGCAAAGCAAGAAGGTGGCGTGGTCTTTGGATGCTTTGCTCCTCCTCTGCTGTCCCATGAGATGGACTAGCTGCCTTGGTGATGGCTTTTGTGCTTGCGGATGTGATTCTGCCCTGCGTGCCTTGGGACACTGATGGCTGATGGGGTGTGCCCCTGTGGCGGAATGGGCCCCATATGCCCCAAGCAGTATTGCCCAGGCATTCACAGCTGCTGTGCTTACAGCTATAGTCCAAGTCATGGTCCTGCTTCCTGGGCAGCCAGCAGAGCCCAAAGAGCAGCACGAGGCCTCCAGCAAAGGCCCTGAACTGCCACCTATTCCACACAGTGAAGACCACTGGGTTCTTGGCAAGCCTGCTCAGCTCTTGGATCACGTGCCCAGACTCCTGCTGCAGTAGAGCCATCTCCTGCCTCAGCTGCTCCTTGGGCTGCTGCATCTTCTGCTGCAAGGCCAGCAGACTAGTGACTGCTCAAACAGGGAGGGCACCCAGTACGAAGTTTCAACTACACATGCAACATCTCCTACTCACCTTAACTGTGGTTTCCAAGATGATGGTAGAGCTATCTGGGATTTGGGGAAATACAGCAGCCCGGTGTGTGCTGGTGTTTGTGCTCTGTGATTTCTGATCACCTCCCAGAGTCGAGGAACACTTGAGCGCATGTCCCTGTGGTGGGATGTGGCTGCGTTCCCCATACAGTGTTGCCCCGACACTCACAGACAGAGTGGTTGTTAAAGAGGCCCTCCCTTTGTGACTTGTCCTCTGTGCTGTCACGGGGCCAGAGCCCCTCTCCAGGGCCAGCCAGCCAGCCCTGGCCATCATCTCCACGCCGCCGCCGTGACACAGCCCTGCCTTGGGCAGCCAGAGCCAAGGCCCCGGCATGCACCACGTGCGAGCCCATGCAGCAGCAGCAGCACAGCGTGCCTGTTGGCCCCCCCTCACCACGTGGGCACAAGCACCCAAAAACGCCCTTAGCCCTTATGGGAGCGAAGAAGAGGGACTGTGGAAGGAGGTCCTCGACTTCCAAAGAGAGCTTCAGTATTTGCCGAGCCAGGCGGAAGGGTTCCAGCTTGCAGCCGCTCCCGGTGCATGCCGCAGAGCCAGGGATGTCCCTGCGCAGTGCTGGTGGGCAGAGGATGGAGAGAGCAGGACGCTCCCCTCTGCCCGGGCACACCTTGTCCCCTGCCTCCTCTCCCCCTCAGGGGCTGTTCCCAGTCCAGCCACGGGCTAGAGCTCCTTAGTCACTTCCCCCTAATTGCTCTGCAGGGAGCAGCAAGCACCCTGCGGTGACCCTGGCCAGAGAGATTTGCTGCTCCAGGCAACCATGCTGCATTGGGGTTTTACCCCTGCAAAGAATGATCTTGTCAGCTTGCTGTGAGACGCAGGCAATTTGGCTTTGGGGATGCAGTGCACAAGGTGTCGCAGTAGGTCTGCGCTGACGAGCTGTCTCCCAGCAGATAGGGAAGTGCATGCCGAGAAGGACGAAGCTCGAGGCAGGGAGGAAGGTGTATGATCAGAAGTCTCCGCAAGAGAAGCAAAGCAGATGGGGAAAGTCTGTGCAGAAGTGTAAGCAGTGCTAAGGCACGTTGGAGGCCAAGTTTCTGCCTATGTTCCAGAGGAGAGATGGAGGCAAGGGGTAACAAACAGAGCACAAACACTAGCGCGCACCAGGCTGCCGTATTTCTCCAACT